ACAGTAAGATATATAATCTGGTGTTCTTATAGATATTTTTATTTTACAAAATAGTGCTCAATGTAAATTTACAGAGCATTAATATTATAAATTAATTGATTTAAAATATTTTTTTCGCTACAGAGTTCTAACCATGTTTCAAAAATGGAAGCTAAAAGTCCCGAATTTAATTTTGTAATTAAGTTAAAGACATTAGTTCCATTTCATCCTCAAGCGATTCGCTTGAGGATGAAATGGTTATTTAATTTTTTTTTGTGTTCCAACAAGTGTTTTCTTTTCTGGACACAGTGTTTTAAAACTGTCCAAATGTTCTGCATCGCTGACCACTTTTGGCTATACTTTCAGCCATCATCAAGGATGATTTTTTTATGATGCATATAAAAAGCCTATATATATATATATATATATATATATATATATATATATATATCTCCAAACAAGGCCTGTTTACTTTTTTTATTATATTTCACCAATTTTCAGGTAAGGTGTTGAGTAGTCTGCTCGAAGCTGTAGATAAACTGTCCAAAGTTCATATTTTGTTATTTTTCTTCAAGTATTTTCGACTTGCATCACATTAGTACTTGCTAATGACGAATGTGTGATAGTTAAGATTCCTTTATCTGCCTCTTGGTATTCTTTGGGAAGCTGTACGTTTGAAATGGTCTAGCGTTAGGTCACGTGTAACTGCTATTGGGAACGAGGCCGCACAAAAAAAGCGATTTATTTATTTTTGTAAGGTTAATATAATGTACGCACTTTAAATATATCATATGCACTTCAAGATACCATCTGCTTTAGTCAATATTTTATTTAATGTGGGCTGTTTATTTTGTAGAACAATACCTTCTGTTTTCAGTCTTTCCTTGCAATGGCTACTGTAGAGTATTTTGATCTTATCTACAAATATTTATCTTGTGTTGATAGTTGTATATTGGTCGTTCAGTATATGCCCGGATTGCACTGAGGTTAGAGAAGTGACAAGGCAATCTGCGGGAGAGTGTGTTGCATGTCTACCCAATGTAAGTATTTAATATTGTTTTTCGATTATTAGTATTGGAGAATTCATGGACAACATTATTTTTATATAAGGGTGATTTAAGAAGCCCGTTGTTGCTAATAAATGTTTTAAACTTTTATAGTACATTATAAATTTTAAGTGTTTATGATCATTGATTTATATGCACTAGTGAATTGTTTTTACTTGCTTTTTCATCCTGTTTTTAATTAGGGTCCATAGAATTAGTTAATCGTTTGTTTATTTTTGTTTGTGTCAAGGAAGGGGATGTTTGTTCGTCGACGACGTGGTTGGGGAAATTATTATTGATAAAGGTTTGTTTAATGTTGCTAAGTTTCTTATAGAATATCTAGGAGAGATTACTTTGGCTCTGTAAATTATCTTTTTTCATAACAGCTATTTTGTATCTGTGAAGATTCTGCTAGTGTTTTTTTTTTTTTTTTTTTTTTTTTTTTTTTTATAAAGACGTGGTAAAATTATGGCTATTGGCATTGACTAATACCTCAAGAAAAGGAATTTTATTGTTCTGAATTTGTAAGTGTCGGACGGTTTCTTTGGTTGATTTGTTTTCTTTTACGGTATATTAACCTCAATGGGTTATTTAATGCCGACAAGATTTTTATTGCTGGTAATAATTTTTTTTTTTTTTTTTTTTTCAAAAATGTTTCGCTGGTAATAATTTTACTCAAAAAGTATTTATGGTATTGTTATTCCGGAACGTACCTATTCTATTGTAAATAGACTCTCCCACAGATAAGTAGTAGCAGTCGCCAGGGTAGCTCAGTGAGTTGTGTGAGTCAGTCGATGTCGGACATTAAAGTATGAGCTCCACAACTAGATTAACTATTATTTCAAGTTCCTAACGTTTTGTACGTCGAACCTAATTTAGGACCGACTTAATGAAATACAAGTTTCCACTGTGAAAATTACTCTTCAACAGGTATTAAAACCTATTTTTATACTTTCATTGTGTTTTGACCCCTTTTGTGGGGGTTAACTATGGTCACACAGAAGGGACCCTGACAGATTCTACTTGTCCGGGTCAGAGTAGACCTGAGAACACCAGTAATTAAGAGGTGGTCCCACGGTCCTTAAAACATCCTGATCAAAGCCTTGCTGTCGGACGTAGCTTATCGCCTTAACCGGGACGCGGACGTAGCTTATCGCCTTAACCGGGACGCGGGCGTAGCTTATCGCCTTAACCGGGACGGAAGTCTCGAACGAAGTAAAGATACAGCGTTGTAGGAATTTTGGCACTTTCTGGAGGCATACAAGGAATCGACCATTTTCCACTATATATTGTCTTGAATTTCTTCAGCCGTAGAGACCTAGTTTTGCTATTGCATGGTTTGTGTTTTGATTTCCGGTTTAGTCTTGTCGCCATGTTGTCTCAACCGTGACAAGTGGTTCCAAAGATTCATGAGATAGCTAAAATATGTTGCAAAATCAAGGTTCGCATTCATTTTGGCATCAAAATGAGTTACAGTTTCTGCATACTTAACTGTTATGACGCTGTCTCCGTCTACAGCAGATTTCGCAAATTTCTTTACAAGAATGTTACTCTCCATACATTTTTTTACAAGCCGACAACTCCCCACAGCTATCCGAGGTTATCAGGAGATAGGTGTTTGTCATCGTTTCTAGATAGACTGCCAACCACGACTGAACAGTATATATCTGCCTATTAAGCAGTTTTGAATTCAGAGTTGTCCCTCTTCGAGACTGGTTGGCAAACCAAGGCAAAAAAGCCAAGTCTGCTTTACTAATTAATCCTTCGTTGGCGGGCAGGGGAACATTTTCTTTTCACTAGGGTATTTTTGCGAAAGTAAACCTAAAGAATTCCATCCGGGACTCGAACTCTGTTTACCGACTTTCCTTTCTGAACCGCTAACAGCTACACCACCCGCACCTTCACTCAACTGTTTATGGATATTTCTAACACCTCTGAAATTCTTTTGGCTAAGATTCGTCCGTCGACCATAATGGGATAATCAAACCGATCCTATAACTTCAGGGAAGAACACCGTTCGAAGGTCTCTCTCCGAACGTGCTTCATCTATGACCACAGTAACGGCGTTAACTGTTGACACAGAATAGTTGAGTATGACAAGTATTTGTCACTGGAGGAACAGAAATTTTGGCTGTCACACTTTTTGTTTACATGTTTCAATGATCTGTGTAAAAACGCAATGATGCCGCAAATTGGCACTTTATACAATACGGCAGCGAAGATGAAGAAGAGACTCGAGGCAATGGAGGTAGGGTTCTACAGAAGGATGCTAAGGATATCATGGACCGAGCGTGTGAGCAACGATGAGGTTTTGGAGAGGATGCAAACAAGGTGGAAGCTTATACTTAACATCAGGAAGAGGCAGATGAAATTTCTGTGACACGTAATGAGAAAAGAAGAGACTCGAGGCAACGGAGGAATGGTTCTGCAGAAGGATGCTAAGGATATCAGGGACTGAGCCTGTGAGCAAGGATGAGGTTTTGGAGAGGTTAAAAACAAGGAAGAAGCTTATACTTAACATCAGGAAGAGGCAGCTGAAATTTCTGGGACACGTAATGAGAAAGAAGGGCTTGGAGAATCTGATACTCACAGGGCGAATAGAAGGAAAGAGAGACAAGGGAAAGCAACACATGACATACCTGGCGGGCTTAAGCAAGTGGTTTACAGAACGTGAATTGGAGGAAGTAGCAAAGGGACAAAACTTATTGAGCTACAAAGGATAGGAGGAAGTGGAGGGCTATGATCGCGTACGTCCGTGAGGGACACTGCACATAAAAAGGAAAGAAGCTACGTTACGGCGGTAGGAAAGTGACTGGAGTAGAGAGGTCGAGTTTGGACCGATAACGTTGAAAATTTTTATTTGAATTTTGTCAACAATCTCGAAGGAGCATAAAACCAGATGTGACAGCAAGACTGAAAGAAGTCATTCCGGTGCAGCCATTTTTTTTAGGTTTCGGAGAAGATGCAAACAAGGAGTAAGCTTTCGGAGAAGATGCAAACAAGGAGTAAGCTTTAACTTAACATCAGGAAAAGGCAACTGAAATTTCTGGAACACGTAATGAGAAAAGAGAGCTTGGAGAATCTGATACTCACAGGTCGAATAGAGGGGAAAGAGAGACAAAGGAAAGCAATGCATGACATACCTGGCGGGCTTAAGCAAGTGTATGACAGAACATGCCGTGGGGGGAAGTAGCAAAAGGACAAAACATTGAGAGCTACAAGGGATAGGGAGAAGTGGAGAGCCATGATCGTCTACGTCCTGAAGGGGCACGGTACATAAAGAAGATACAAGCCTTCTTTACAGCTACAGTGAGGATAAGGTTTAGATATTTGAAAACGTGATAGGCTTGTACGGATCGAATTTGTTACATTAACGAGAACTAATTTTCAGTCTAGGTAAGCAGCGAGGTCTTGTATTACTGTTTATTCCGAGGAGCAATGTCACTAGTAGCTAAATAGGACGTCAGTAGTGTCGTCCCGTAGCATCTACGCGCTTCTTCCTGGTGCTATTTATAGAGTTTCGGTTGTACATATCTTCTATGCCTCTTGATTATTCCTTGGGGAACATAGGGCCGCAAAACACCTCTCCAATGGACGCGGTTCTGGGCGATCCTCTTCAGCTCGGTCGATGTCGTGCCGGCTGCCTTCAATACTTCTGCGCCAAGTCTGTTTTGGTCGATCCACTTTTCACTTCCCTTGTGGATTTCAGTCAAGGGCCTGCCTGGTGACACTTTTTGTTCCTTGATGTTAATCTCAATTGGGGCTTGTCTGGTCCTGTTTCACAGTTGGTCGCTGGAGACGACTTCCGGTCACCTGATATTGAGGATGTTCCTGAGACATTGGTTGGTAAATGTCTGATGTTTGTGGGTTTTTGGTCTTGGTCACCAGCAGCTTTCTGAGCCGTAAAGTAGGACCGACTTGACTTTGGTGTTGAAGATCCGGATCTTGTAAAGATACATATTAGGATATGCGCATATGTTTAGTCTTGGTAAGCAGGGAGCAGGGATGGCATCTATGGGCTTCTTCTTGGTGCTGTTTATAGAGTTTGGGTTGCGCATATATTAGGAGATAAATGGCGCTTCCTTTTAACTTTTGTATCAAGGATTTTTTGCAGTTCAATGTCAAACATCCTGCTGACTTCTTCACCGTATTATTCCTAGGAGAGTTGGTTTCCTGGTGCTATGCCTTGCCAAAGGGTAGCTCAAGATTTGGTCGTTACGGTTTCTGCATTCTCCTTAGACTGATTGCTCAGTTTGCCCAGCTATTTAAAACACATTTGTGGGCGAGGGAAAGAATTGGTTAGAAATATATTCATATCTTTTCCAAGGGTTTTATTCACGGAAGTGAATGTAACAAACTGAACTGTAATTCGAACTCTGCTCTCCGATTTCTCACTCCGATCCCCTATCCATGAACCATCTGCACATCCATAAAAGTAGGGGGTCTAAATTTGAATGAGTTATTCAAAACTCAACTTCGACAGGAAATCAATATCTACATTTATTTAGTTTGCTATTTCTCTCTCTCTCCCTTCCCTTCTCCCTTCTCTTCCCTTCCCTTCTCCCTTCTCTTCCCTTCCCTTCTCCCTTCTCTTCCCTTCCCTTCTCCCTTCTGTCTTCCCTTCTCCCTTCTGTCTTCCCTTCTCCCTTCTGTCTTCCCTTCTCTCTTCTGTCTTCCTTCTCTCTTCTGTCTTCCTTTCTCTTCTGTCTTCCCTTCTCTCTTCTGTCTTCCCTTCTCTCTTCTGTCTTCCCTTCTCTCTTCTGTCTTCTCTTCTCTCTTCTGTCTTCTCTTCTCTCTTCTGTCTTCTCTCTTCTTTCTCTTCTCTCTTCTTTCTCTTCTCTCTTCTTTCTCTTCTCTCTTCTTTCTCTTCTCTCTTCTTTCTCTTCTCTCTTCTTTCTCTTCTTTCTCTTCTCTCTTCTTTCTCTTCTCTCTTCTTTCTCTTCTCTCTTCTTTCTCTTCTCTGTTCTTTCTCTTCTCTGTTCTTTTCTCTTCTCTGTTCTTTCTCTTCTCTGTTCTTTCTCTTCTCTGTTCTTTCTCTTCTCTGTTCTCTTCTTCTCTGTTTCTTTCTCTTCTCTGTTCTTTCTCTTCTCTGTTCTTTCTCTTCTCTGTTCTTTCTCTTCTCTGTTCTTTCTCTTCTCTGTTCTTTCTCTTCTCTGTTCTTTCTCTTCTCTGTTCTTTCTCTTCTCTGTTCTTTCTCTTCTCTGTTCTTTCTCTTCTCTGTTCTTTCTCTTCTCTGTTCTTTCTCTTCTCTCTTCTTTCTCTTCTCTCTTCTTTCTCTTCTCTCTTCTTTCTCTTCTCTCTTCTTTCTCTCCGCACGCATGCGCCCTGTATTCAACGATGTCTGCTTGTGAAACTGGACTCTGGTGTCCATTCATTCATTAGACAAAGGCTCTTTTTATTTTTTCATGAAGGAACGCACAGTCGCTATTGTATATGGGTTTGACGTGTGGGGGTCGGTAGTGGTAGATTTTTCTTAATTTCTGTCTGCATAGACATCTGCCAGCCACATGGCTACAGTCGAAGCGGCGCACGAGTCGCTATCATCGTTCCAAGTTTATTTCCCAGTGCTTGAATGAAATCTTGCAAACGCACCTCAGGAAATTTACCCACCTCGTAGGGATAGGATACGACACGACACCGGCTCGGTTTATATGGGAGGGTTCCATACCACATGTGGTGGGGGCGGCAACAGCTCCTCTTCTGCAACCACTGGTACACTGGCGTCATGAGCTACTAACCTTTCCCCTCGAGGAAATAAGGAAACGATTGCTGCAGAATTGGAATCCTCACGACCAGGCTTCACTCATGAAAAGATAGAAAGAACAGATGCTATACCTTGATCATGTAGTTACTCATCTCCCCACGGTAGCAGGATATGACACAGTCGTTTTTAATGTACGGTGGAATAATGGATAGCGTTTCGAATTACGGTATAGGAGAGCCGAGTTCGAATTCTGGTTTATTCACTTACGTACTAATACGTTATGGGCATGTGGCCGAGTGTTTAGAACGTTTGCATCTGACTACGAGACCCGGGTTCAATTTGTCGGAAAGAAGACTGGAGAAGTCTATCCCAGCGTACGGAAAGTGCCTGAAAACCATACCATGGGTTGACCCAAGTCTTGTAATTGGTAGACGGAACACTTAGTTGTGCTAGCACGAAGTCACCGCGGCTGAGGACGTGAGCGTGCTGGCCTTGACTAAATTATTGATCATGCTAGATAACATGCTCTTTCCCAGAAACTGTAACTAAGGTCTGCTCAGCATAGTTGCAGTATAAACCACAGGTGGGCTCCGTGGGTGTTGAACAAATACGCCTGAACAAGCGTCTGCAAGCAGGGCTTGGCTAGCCGCCTTAGAAGATAGGTATACTCGAATATTAGCGGTCAGCTATACAATAGCCTTATAAATCCATCTTTTCATCTCGCAGATATCGGTAAGAAGCATGACAGACTTTGGTTAGCAAGCAGAGAATTCAAACCACCTGCTGTCTTGTAGTTTCTGCCTCTTTACACAACGGTTAGAAGGTAACTTAAAAAAGAAATCCAGCTCGCATGTTGTCTCGAAGAAAAGAACTGTTCCATCTACTTCGAGCCGCGAGAGACAATGAACTCCTCGGGCTTAGTATAATGTTCTGAACAAGCACAAGACTGAGGCATGGCACGACAACGTGAACATCTCAGATTTCGGACTATTTGCCTATGGGGGTATCACCTACGACACTTTAGACAACAACGATGCGGGCAAGGGGTTAAAAACTGCCTATTCCCCCCCGCTGACGTCGGTATGTACCAACCTCCTCTTTACTGCAATGAGGAAGTGTTGGAATAGCTGGATTTCCTCGTAATTTTAAGAGGGAGAGAGACTGAATACCACGCTGAGCCCAGCCCAAAGGCCGGTGATATTTACTCCTCTCCACACAGGGGCAAGGTTTTTTTTTTTTTTATTTTTTTTTTTTTAACGTGGAGTGGCCCTCAACTAATTCAAAAATTGTCCGCTCTAACGCCAATATTCCACCGACTCTCTCTCTCTCTCTCTAGTGCAATGAAGAGGGTGGTGGTGCTGCCGCATGGTTTAAATCCTCGGGATCAGGCATTCCTCAAAGGTCTTTCTGGAAACTGCTTGAAGTACAGATACTTGTCTTGGGATTTTATCCGCCTCCCCCCCCATCACCACGGTGATGGGATATAGTACAAAACCAGTTTACAGTGGGGAGCCCAAGTGCGTGTACGTGGGCTAAGGCCAAAAAAATTTCCCAATCCCCGCAACCAACTTCATTCTGGCGGCGGTAATCCACAGACCTTCCCTCTTTGGTGCAATGAGGGAGGTGCTGTCGCAAGATTGGAATCTCCGGGGTCAGGCATCTTTTATTTGTTTTGTTCTGTTCGAAGGCATAAACTTGAATGAGAGATAAAATAGTTTGTCCGCCTGAAGGCAGATACTTCACTTTGATCCCAGACCAAAGGCCGGGCAAAGGAATGCAATTTGTTTAGTTTTCAAATTTGATTCCGACATAATTTTCCACCAATGAACAATCGCCACACAATTCTGCATAATTTGAATTCTTTTTGCTTTTGGTAGTAAATGAGACTTATTCTTTGTTCTGGTTTCTTTCTAATGTAGGATTTGTTGTCTATTTATTTCTCAGTAGATGTCATAAGCATGTGATGAATTCTTTAATATTTTGTTTTCAGTCGAGATGTCTATCCCGATTACCGCCTACATTGTTAGTCTCTCTTTAATCTCCGAGTTTACATTATGATGACTTTTTCAGTGAGAAGGATCTTCAAATGATGACACAGCGAACATTTCTTTGTTGGAGTTAATTCTTTGTTTTATTTATATTGCAAAATGTATTCATCTTTTCTGATCTGAAGGCCATAATGTGAGACTTTGTGTCCAGCCAGGCAACATTTAATGGGTACCACTTTTACTTCGCCAACAAAAATCTAACGTTTTGCAATTTGAATGCAGGTTCGCTTATGAGGCCACCACAACGGCCATATTTTGTTGCAATAGTCGCAAAGAAAGATTTTGAACCGTATGTTTACACTTTTAAAGATGTCCTTTAAAAATAAATACTGAATATATATATATATATATATATATATATATATATATATATATATATATATTCATACAAAAAACAGATATAGACGTTAATTATTTAAACGGCGAAAAACAGATATCGTAGCAAACAATTTTAATAAAGTACATTAACCCCGAAACTGTATACTTTCTTTGCGACTATTGCAACAAAATATGGCCGTTGTGCGGGGTTAATGTACTTTATTAAATTTGTTTGCGAAGATGTATTCTCGCCATTTAAATCATTAACTTATATATCTGTTTTTTGTATGAATGATTCATGTAATGTAAATTGAACTGCACCACATACTTTGTGTGTGTATATATATATATATATATATATGGCCGAAACTAGTCGAGGAAGAGCAGGAGAAAAAAATCCCTGCTTGTTAGTAGAAGGAAACTACAGGAATGAATGACCGTTTCTGAAGAAAGTGAACATTAACTAGTTTTTATGTTTTTTATCGTTAATTTATATCAGTCCTTGTGTTGGTCAAACGGCCTCTCTCAAGTTGTTTTTAAGATAAAGGATGAGAGATTCCTGACTAAGAATCCCCTCCTTGGTCATCCTGACAGTTTTATTGGTTTCTGGGAATGCGAGGTGGGGTGTTAAGTATATGTAATCTTTATATATATATATATATATATATATATAATAAATAAAGAGACACGATGAAAAACTATTCTTAGCCGACGCGTTTCGTCCTCGGATGGACTTTATCAAGGCAATGTAGTATTTATTTTGCTACACGTGTTTATATACAAAGGCGAAGATGTCATTGTTTTATCAAGGCTTATAAATTTGAGAACGTTCATGAATGTTCATCAGGTGGTTGAAAGGTCATTCAAAGCATATGGAGGTCACAAAGTGTCATAATTCAAAGGCTGACAAAAAGTAAAGTGAGCGAAAAATTAAAGTGCCAGCCAGACTTTGAATTGTGACACTTTGTGACCTCCATATGCTTTGAATGACATTTCAACCACCTGATGAACATTCATGAACGTTCCCAAATTTATAAGCCTTGATAAAACAATGACATCCTCGCCTTTGTATATAAACGTGTCGGCTAGCAATAGTTTTTCCTCTTGTCTCTTTTATCTGAGAATATTCACATATATATATATATATATATATATATATATATATATATATATATATATATATACACACACGCATATATATATGTGCGTAAGTGCCTGAAAATCATACCACGTGTTGACCCAAGCCTTGTGAGTGAAATTTGGTAACCCCTGGGGCCGTCGATAGCTGTGCTAGCACGAAGTCACAAGTAATCGTGGCTGAGGGCTTGAGTGTTCTGGCCTGGTTCAAAGTGTTGATCACGCTAGATAACATGCTCTTTCCCAGAAACTGTAACTAAGGTCTGCTCAGCATAGTTGCAGTATAAACCATAGGTGGGCTCTGTTGATGTTGAATAAACACAAATGCGCCTGAGCAAGCATCTGCAATAGGGATTGGCTAGCCGCCCTAGTAGACGAATCTCCTCGAATACGAATGTCCAGATTATATTGCGTTCAAAATATTTACATTTCGGCATTAAATAACCCATAGAGGTGTTGATATGCCACTGAACAAAATCAACCAATATGAATTCTTCTTGCGTTCGTTTTCTGTCTTTTGTAGGATTTCCTGCAGTTTCCTTTCTGGGAATTCTACGATTGTGCTAGCCCAACGTTACTTTGGGACTAACACGAATAATAAATGAAAACTGTATCAACATTTAATAAAGGCTACAGGAACCAGTTTGTCCTGCTATTCAACCCATAGCTAGGGGGACAAGAGAGGGTTTCATACTTTTCCCAAGAGTATTTGTGCTGAAGTGAATCGGAGGACAAGCCATTGATAACTATATTCAGGAAACAACCTGTTAGGAAGGATTTTTATGATCGCGAAGATCCTTCCAGTGATTCCATAAATGGGGATCTTGTGTAGTAAACCTTTCTGCCACAACCTGTCGAAGGCCTTTGAGATATCTAGAGCTGTGATCCTAGTTGTGTTTGTCGTCAAGAGCTTCGTTTTGTGAGTGATGGTAGTTAGAATGTCGGCAGTGGATAGGGCCGACTTAAACCCATATTGTTCGTCGCTGAAGAGGTTGTTCTTTTCTAGGTGCTCGACGACCTTCTTATGGCCACAAAAAGTTTCCTGATGATACTGAGGAGACTGATGGGTTTGTACTGGGAGAGGGAAGATCGCTCGCCCGTGTTCTCGAAAACCGGTCATACGCTTGACACCATCCACCGGCTTGGGAAGGATTTCTTCAAGCAGCGGTTGAATA